ATAAGACTTGGTATTTCTTTGTTTTATATTTTATCCTACCAAAAAGTTTTAAAGAACAAAGGAACCTATTCATTTTCATTTTTTTGAAAGCGAATAAAACAGAGAACTGAATAATGCATCAACACAAAGAAGCAATAGAGATAGCTAACTATAATATTGCATCATATACCAAGATAGTGAAAAAGAAGCAATAGAGATTAAACAAAGAAGGGAATTAATTATGGATTGTACTAAAAAGTAAAAACCTTTCAAAGTATTTCCTCAATCCTCTTTGAACCAGCTTCGAGTACAAGACAAGGCATTCATAAGGTCGGGATCCAAGCGAGTTAAACATCGATCAACTGGCCTTAGTTCGGCGTAAAATGCCTCGTAAGAGGTAGCAAGCGAGATAGGAACAGCCAATATATCTCTAGCCATCGTAGAAAGTGTAGGATACCGAACACTCGAAATTCTCCACCAATTTAACACAGACAAGTCCTCACTCCAAGGCAAGACTGGCTCTTCCAAATACCAGTCGAGTTCAGACTTCAACTTGCTTCCACTCTTCATCAGATGGTACATCATATATATTCATCTGTCACATCTTTGGAAGAGAATTCCCCCGCAAACCATGCACAGCTCCATAGCCTCCTTTAGATGAAAACTTGTGAGGTACCAAACGGGTGCTATCAACTCAAATGCATATTATTGCACCATTTGAGTAATGAACTCACCACAACTATAGACTCGAAAAAGTTGACCATACAATGAGAGGTTCTTCTTTCCTTGAAGGTGGGCTTTGATATAATCAAATATATCATCGTCATTGGAAGAACTCATAGTCACTGTAGATATCTTGCTCTTGAGGCCCCAATCTTCGAGCCACTCAACAACGGCATCCCAATATGCAGCACGACGAAGTGAACAAAAGTTGATCACCCATTGCTTCAAGCTCCAAGTTTCATCAATGAAGTGCATTGAAATGTACACAAAATCGAAAAACATTGCCCTTATATCCACCGAGAAAGGAGAAACCTCTAGTGCAAATGAACTAGGCAATATTTGTCACTACTCTCTTGGAATTGAACTCTTGTTCCTCTTCAGGAATCACATCACTGCTTTCATCAGAGCTAGTGTAACTTTCAGAATCAACATCTTTTCCTGTCACTTCAGTACCAATAGCTTTATCCGTCTCAACTTTGTCGGACATATCTAAATCGGACAAATTTCCTCTCGTTTATAGAGTATATAGTCTATTGTGTACTGACAGCTTTAGGAATTTGAGTTGAAAGAGAAATTTAAACTCATATTTTAATCTCAAATTTAAATTTAAACTTAAGTTATAAACTCAAATTTTAAATTCAAGTTGAAAAGGGAACTTAAACTCATATTTTAGTCTCAAACTCAAATTTAAACTCAAATTTTATATAAAAAAATATAAATTTAAATAAAATTGTAACTTAAATTTAAATTTTTTTTAAATTTGAGTGAAAATAAACGAGCTTGTACACAATAGACTATATACTCTATAACATATTTATTTATTAATATATGTTTCATCCGTACAAGTGTAGTACAAGTGTATGTATGAGTGACATCTCTCTCCTTTAGGAAAAAGTTTATTTTTTTCTCAGTTCAGTCATTTGGGCCATGGGAAAACGAATTAACTTCAAATGTTGAACATCAAAGACATGCGTTAGATTCGTATTTAGTTATTTACTGACTATTAAAATTAATAAACCATGAAAGCAGTAAATAGATTGGCACAGAGAATTAGTATCATGGTTTGGTAATTATATACATTCACGGGGTCACGTCCAGACATTGAATCATCCACTAATTTTTAACGATTACAAACACCAATCAAACTTATACAAATAAAGACTCACTTTGAATTTATGTAGAATCAACTAGATGCCATGATTCAGCAAGCACCACTCGTCTTCAAAACTGCACGATGAAATTCTTTCGTCTGACAGGTCACTCTCTTCTAAAAGCTTCAAATTCTTCTCCCGAAGAACGATAAACTTTTAAACTCCCTTCAACACTGCAAACGTTTTCTCCCGAAGACTACTACTTCTTCTCCTAAAAAATGATAATAAAAACTTCTCAAAACATTATGCATGAAACCCAAGAAGCTCACGGAATGAATGATCTTGAATTCTATTTATAGAACTTTCATTCCTTATCTTTAAGTTGACACAATGCAATTCTATTTCAAATTATCTCTGCGTCCACATTATCTTCAAGTTAGTATTCACCAAATTCAAATCTCCTCTGGATATTATTCGGATAATACACCACAATTTAAATCCGAATTTACTGAGCATCTACGTAAGCTTCATTTACCTTTTAAATTTGAATTTAAATTTTTTTTAGAACATATCTTCACCATGCAAACATTATCACCCATTTGAGTTTAAATTCACATCTCCAAATCATCTCTAAAAATCTCCACGTGCTTTATCAAATAAAATCCACAAGCGCATTCTTCTTTTAAATCTTCAAATTCAAATTAGCCACTCATTGACAAATTCGGATTTAGCAAGTTTTCAAATCCGATCTTCCAACAAAATATCTTCTCAAATTAAATATCTTCTCAAATTCAAATTCGGATTATGCAGCAAAATCTCTAAATCCAAAACACTTGGGGGTTGTTCTTTTGTAACAAAACTCAAAAAAAATTTAAACTCGAGTTACAACTTTATTCAAGTTCATGTTCTTTTGTAAAATTTGAGTTTAAACTCGAGTTTAGGGCTAAACTCGAGTACAAGTTTTCCCTTCAACTCGAGTTCAGAAACTCAAACTCAAATTAAAAAATAATATTTTTTCTATTTTTAAAAATGTCATAACTTTTTCGTTTTAATTCTGATTAAGATGATTTTTTTCTATGCATTCACAACGAAAAGACGAATAAAATCTCACTCATATACCCTATTAAAATTTTTTATCACCATTGAGTTTTTATTAAAATACTATCTAAATATAAATTTAAGTTTTGACCCACCCAAACACAAACTCAAAAAGATTCTCAATTCAAATCATAACTCAAATATGCACATCCAAACACAAACTCAAGTTATAACTTCAACTCAAATTATAACTCAAACTCAACTCAAAATCAACACTCAAATTACCCTAACTCAAAAATGTAAGAGTCCAACCCGTTCACTTCGCTAATTCGAGTTTGTAATTCGAGTTGAGATGTGATTTTGTGTGAGAGCTTTTTACTGTAGCAAAAAAGTTAGATGTGACTGTTTCTGAGAGCTTTTTACTGTAGCAAAACTTGAATTCTAAACTCGAATCGGCGAAATGAACAGAGTTATTATCTTCCGTGGTTGACAACCTACAGAATTTGAATTTTTTACAGACAGATGCCCATAAATGCCAACTAGACAAAAACCTAATAACATGTATAATATATAAGATGATATTTATTTTTATATATATCTATATAATTGCAAGAAATTTGTAATGACTAAAATAAGTGTATGACAAAAATATCAAAATTTCAATACAAACGAACTCAACATCATGGAAAATGACAAGTGTGTGCTCGTACATTTAGAAAAATCGAAGATTTTAAACAGCTATTGCTTGATCCCACAAAAATTCGACGCTGTACATACCGAACAATTTAATGTTATCTAATCTAAGCCCTAAACAAACAATTAAACCTGAAAAAAAATCACAAAATTTTTAATTACTATTTCAATTTCGGGTATGCTGATGATTTTACAACATTGGACTTTCAAAAGACAAAGTAAAGGAAAACCCAAAAACAACTTCTCATGCATTTTTCGTTTGTTTGTTTGATAAGCAGTAGTTAACGCAAATCAACATGCAGTTACTGGAATAGAAGTTCATTTGTATGAATTAACTAGTGATCCACACATATATTGGGAAAAAAAAAAATTAAAACTCAGCGTGCAAATAAGGAAAAACCACAGAAATTAATATTTTAATCTCAGATGCGCAAACATTACATTATCCAAATCTCGGATGGTAGTTTTTATAGTCACATTTTACGTTGTTGTAATGTGGCTGTCCACATATTAATTAAGTTGTCTTTTTCATTAAGAGAAGATTGTTTTTAGTTAGAAGAATTTCTTGATTGTAGTGCTTTTATTATAGGTGTTGATATGGATGTTTCTTAATTTTAATATTATCCACTTTTACCTCAAAAGAAAAATAGAAAGATCAAACTAAAGGAAACCCGAAAAAGCAACTTTTCATTGTCTCAAGAAAAAAAAAAAAAACAAACGAATTTTCTCATGCAAAATCCAAAATCCTAACTTCAGATGAGCTATAAAGCAAAGAAAGCAACTTTATCATGCAAAATCAAAAACCCTGAGCCATAGAAATCATTTCTTTATGTATCATTTTGTTTGCTAAACCAAAATTTACAAATTTTTCGCGCTCTCTCATCCAAAAACCAACGGTATGATCACACGAGAAAAAAAAAAAAAAAAAAAAAAAAAAAAAAAAAAAAAAAAAAATTTTTTAAAAAGAACCTTTTTTCAGTGGCGGAAAAAAAAAAAAAAAAAAAAAAAAAAAAAAAAAAAAAAAAAACTTTTTGAAGACGAACCTTTGATCAGTGGCTGAAAAAGTAGAAACAGCAGTGAAATCTGGGGCAGATTTTGGTGTTTTTACATGAGAAAACTGATGAATATTTATATATATAGATGACCACTACATACTTTCCACTTTGATATCTTCCCCGCCTTTGTGCATTTGTCAAGATGGCAGTCCAAAGGACGTCCTTTCCATTCCCTCTGTTTGGATGCAAAGAAAGTTATGTTCCATCGATGGAAAGAATAATAAGACAATAGAGTTTGGAGTTTGGAGTTTTGCCTTTTGACTTAGGGGCATTGTTGTCTTTTTAAGGGATTTTATCTTTGTAAGTTTATTGTCATTTTTTTCACTTATTTTTGTTTTTCGTATTAGAATATCCCCTTTTATTTATTTGTTGTCACTTTCAAGTCATATGGTTCATGAGAAATTTGTAAATTTATGCTTTAATTAGACATCGCAATTTTCATGGCGTCCTTTACTAACTTGTACAAAATACTGTACATATACAAAATGGCTATAAGCACAAGGAATGTCAAAACCTGTACAACTTTCAAGAGCATCTGGTAAATGGCCAACAGACAAGAATTCTGTACACGGTTTTTATTTACAAACAAAACCAGATGTATTTGTAGATAATGCTATTCACATCTAATCTATCTTCTACGCTCTCCGGTAGGCCATCCGCCGTTGCAACGGCTTTGGCAGGAAAACTAGTTCTCTCTAGTTGTAAGCTTCAGTACCTGCAGTGGGTGACAGTTGAATAGATTAAGAATTAACAGAACTAAGAAAGACACAAGAAAAAGATAATTTTGTCGTAAAATAAAATGTTATTTATCACCATTGGTGATGCAGTCACTGTACAAATGGCAGTACAATAAAACAGCCACATAAAAGAGGGATGCATTTCTTTTACTTTTTGCCAAAGGTGATCCATTAGAAGTGGTGATGAATTGCAGTGCTCAATTTGGTCAAAACCAACATGAATAAAAATTTAAGTAAACAATGAACCAAGTACTCACTTTTTGACCTTATAAGACGTTCTGAAAGTCGATAGCAGCTAGGATTATCATATGAGCTGACTCGAGCAGAAAGGCCAATAATAATAATTTTCTACGGCGCAGCTGCTTCCATGATCAATTAGTGCTGCTGCCAAAAGTTGAACTTTGAGGAACCAATGAGGATACTTGATGGGGAGACCAGACACTAAACCTTTCTTTTGGGAGAATTTCAGTACTGGTACCCTCAGCCAGTGGTGAATACGGTTTTGTTACCTTTTTAAGGGAGTCCTGAATAAGAAAAAAGCCTAGTTATTTAGAAGATGTTCTATGGATGACACAATAAGAACACTGTCCGGAGAACATTTTTGGCGTAGTAAACATGAGTCAACGAATGTATGAGGTTAATGAAATCATGATACTGCGTCAGAAGTGTGCTTTTAAACACAAGGATACATGTTGATACGACACTAGGGACTGACCTTCGATTGGTTTGGTCCATAAGTGTGCAAAGCTAGCTCAATTGAAGAGTAAACTTCAAGAGCCTGACGGGTTTCAAGCATGCATTTTATAAGGCGAACTTGTTCCTTCAACTCTGTTGATCTAGTCCTTAAATAAAGAATAAGACGTGAAGGCAGATCTTTTGGATGATCTTTCTTTCCATGTGTCAATTCCATTGTTGCCAGGTCATCCCACAGGACGTCCCATATTATCGAACATGGATCCCTGGCCGGGCTGAACTTCCTCTGACCAATAATATTGGAGGGTTGCTGAAAATGACAGACATGAAAGTTGTTTCACGTTGGTATCATGAGTGTGTTAAAGTAGACATTATGAAATCAAATGTTTATGACCAAAGCTAACTTACCTGCAACAATATCACTCTTCGATGCGTGACCACAAGAATTTTTCCTTTTGGGAGCAAATAGTGGTCTTCATAAGCATCAGTTAGCGCAAACTTTCCACGAACTTTAAATAAATCAACCTGACCCAAAAAGGAACCTGATTCGGCCAGCTGCAGTATAATCTTCATGACAAAACAAGTACATAGAAGAAAGTCAATTAGAACACAAGCAGGTCAGCCAACAAAATGGGAATTAAAATTATACATGACTAGCAAATGTAAAAGCACGTAGTAATGTTTCCATCTTTTTCCTTACTCCAAGGAAACAAAACAAGCATTTTCTTTCCATATGTTTATTCAACTCTGGATCAAACAAATCAATGTACTGTCTACAAAACTAGAATCATTGGTTTGATTTTCCAGGTCCCATTGTGATCCAGGCTATCAATCTCAGGGGCCTTAATTGGAAAAAAAAAAATGTAGTGCGGACGTATGTATATAACCAGGTGAAACTATTACCTGTCCTTGTGCTTTATCCTCATCATATGGCCGAAGCAAGTTATCGCCACTAATTACACGAGGCAGTCTCCTGCGGAGTAGTTGTTCATCAGAAGTTATAGCCGATGCTATCTTCATTCTCATAGCATTGGCACCTTCGGTGGTTTTTGATAAAAGATCCAGCACCCCACTAACTGGCTGTGCAGCTGCACCAATTATTCCTCTCCCAACACCTTGAACAAAACCCTCAACACCAGAAGTTTTTGCACCTTCGAGAGGCTTTGTTAATATTCCAGTGACTCCTCTAAATAGGCCTTTAGCAAGCGCCCCACCTCCCTCTCTGATAACATCACCGAAGTCCTCTACACCCTTCTTTTCCTGCCATATTAAGTAATTTCACACATTTGAACCTTCCAGCGTTTAACCAAAGTTTTAATCTGATGTAGGACAAGCTTAGTGATATTACGGAATTTTTGTTTTATTGACTTCTATTTTTATTTGGTTGTTATCTATGTTAGGTTTGAGTTTTCTATATTAAGACTCCTTATTGTCACTATCATATTAGGATTAGGATGTTCATCTATTTCGTATTTTTTTTTGAGTTAAGAGTACTAGTGAGACTAGGATTGATTAGTCTATAAATGAGGCTTTATGCTTGTAATTTTAGAATGTTCAGTTAACATTAAGAACGTATTAATCCTCGCTTCTGCTACACCATAATAAAAAGGTGTCGAATAGAACAAATATTTTTTGTGCAAACCTGTCTCTGCCGGCTTTGGATGAACTTCTTATCCATTGATAAGGCAGCCATACCCTTGCTCATATGTCCGAGTGCACTGCTAGCATTACCCAATATATCGACACCTAAAAGCAATTGAAGAGGCTGGCCCAGGAGATCCTTTCGAATGTTTGATATAGCAATGCTTATCATTGAACTCTGCCTCATGCACACATTCTCGTGGAACCTTTGATTCACCCTAACCTGAATAAGAAATAGAAATCGTATTAAAAAAATTTCAATACTCCACAGAATTGTCACGAACTAGGACAAGTATAAAGTTGCTAGAAAGCAGGGATGTTTCTTAGCAGTAACTTTCTGTTGTCTTAGTGTTCCAACAAGTTATATGGCGGAGAATAATCCACAAACAACTGAAGATTTAAAGTTGAAAGGCCGAAGTGATAAATATATTACCACGCTTTAGTAACAGAAATGATGACCTCATATGGGCATAGTTAGATATGCATAAGAGATGACATGTATAGTGGACAAGATGTGTTTGCTAAAGATATTACTTTGCATAACAAATCTCATGGAAACAAGATCATGATTTAGCCATAATAACAAGAATAAGATTTCCCTACGTGGATATCATTTAGATTCACAAGATAAAAATAAATAAATAAATAAATAATCGAGATAGGAAAATATTACATAATAAAATCAGACTACTCACAGGCATATTTTCAGTGTTGCCCAATGCAGTCATCAAGGATGCCCAGAAGCCAAGTACGCCCCTTGGCCGTTGACTGGGTGACATCGCCATCGACACTTTGAATCGAACTTCTGAGATGTTAAGAACTCTGCAGGTTCAAGAAACATTGATTTTGAAACTCAAGGATATCATCCCAAAAACTCTAAAAGTTCAAAGAACATTAGCTTCAAATCAATGACATAAACGCCGAGACACAACACATTCAATTACAAACTTTAAATAGCTCCTTACATACCCAATTTGGATAATTGGATCAACTGAAACAGCAGTAGTTCGACTATTGTATATGCGACAGAGGTTGACCTGCTGGATCATTTCATGAAGGCGCCATATAATAGGTTCGTGAATATTTATCAGAAAGGCAGAACTTTCAGGTCCCTGAATGATCATTGGAGAAATAATTAATATAAATCGAGAAAGAAAAGAGTGATAAACCTCCCACTTGTTACGGAGACAAGAATGTACTCACATTGAAACCAATATATGGATAGACACAAAGATCCAGTGACCCATTTGATTGCATGGTCACAGAAAATTTCAAGACATACTCGTTCTCCTCTCCAACTTTCTGCGGTCTGAAAAGAACTGGCATTGGAGTTAATGGCAACTGGTTATCCACTTGTATCCCATGCATTCGTATTTTAAACCTACACCATAGGAAGCAACCGAAGCTTTAGAATTTGGTGAGTGGATCATCAGAAAACTGGAAAAGAAAAAAAAGAATGAAATAAATGACTGACAACGGCCTTAAAGAGTTTTCTTTCTCTTTGATTATGTTGAATTGGGAAATAGGATGTAAGGCATATTATAATATAAAACACAGTACAGCTCCACTCCATGCTGGCTCACTGGAGCCTTCATGTCCCTAACGTCACACTCATCAAGGTTGTGTAAAACACATGCTCGCATGGACTGGTCAATAAACTGAACGATTCACTCTCATCCATAAAGCATTCATGAAAAGCAACTTACCTACTGAATCCAGAGCCCAGGCCAGTCGAAAATGCAAGACGAAGATTCTGAACTGAGAGGTACAATATTTCTTCAGGTGTGTGGTCAATGACGGATACTCCAAGCTCCGCTAGCTCCACAATAACATGAAATTCAGAGTCCAAAGTAGATGGCGATTGGAGCTGTCGTGGATCCTTTAAAGAAATCTGCGATAAAGGGGATGCATCTTTTCTAGTCAACATTCCAGTAGGTTCACTTTCTGGCATCCAGTCACTGAGCTTAACAACGTTGATTTTATCTTCTTTTACTATAGTAACTCGGAGAGCCCTAGAGGACCCACTTGCCACATGAATGGGCAGATGATCAGAAACTTCATCAATATCAAGTTTCTGTGATTTTGACAGTTCGTTCCCATCTATCAAGAGTTCCAACAGTCGTCTTCTACCAAGATCTTCCCAAAAGAAAGAAGCTGCTGAACTAGGAAGAAGAAACTGCCATGACTCGTTGGTACCATCCACTTGCCGAAAATGAATGGGTAAAAACATGGAGCGATTTTCAATCCTGTTGTTAGAAACTCAGACATTATTCATGTATGCATTATGAAGTAACATATGCACAACCGAGCAGGAACAATGTAATTAAAAAAAAAAAAAGAAAAAAAAAGTAGAAGGAGAAGTGACTGGAGAACACAAATTTACCTCCTTGAAAAATGATGAAGTTATAACGCCAATTGCCTCAAAATAGTTTGACAAGTTTACTAAGAACAAAATGAACGGGAAAGATTGTTCTATATATCTCATAATAAAGACAATTGCATAAGTACATATACTCTATTCTTTCAAAAACATATCACAGATTCGCAATCAAATATGAAAAGAAACATAATGAAACAAGATAAGAGTAAACTTGTAACCTGTAAGGACTTGATAATGAGTTTGGCCGGAAAATAACTTCATAGCTCGAGCTCTTTGCCCCACTTCTGACTGCTATTCTTAATTGCAGTTGATCATTCTCAGTGTCTTTCTTCAAGCATATTCGCATGACACCTTCATTACAGACGCTGAATGGAGTACTCCATTTATAGCCATCAACCCGCAACTGCAAAAAATTACAAAAATCATTCAAAATACAGAGAACATATTCATCAACAATGTGATTGTTTTATTTTATTTTATTTTTTCTTAAAAAAAGAGCTGCATGGACCTTCAACATTTCAACTTTGGTAGAAGACGGCCAACAAAAGAGCTTTGGAGAATCAGACGGATGAATCCAGGTTACTGATTGAGATTCACATTGCTGGAGGCAAAGACTGTAACCAACCCTATTACTAAACAAGGTGTGTGGCTGAAAATGGAGGACCTGAATACAAGCAATTAGGAAACTGTTGATTATTGAATAGGTAGCATCTAAGCAAACTAAGATCCACAAATTCACAGCTTCATAATACCAAATAGAAATACTACTTCATGGAAAACATTGTTACATTGCTATTGACCTTCCATGTAAAAGTACCAATAGTCATCTCCAACAACTCTTAGCATTATGCGATTAGGAATTTAAAATGTATATTTCTCAATTAGGTAATTTAGGTTTGGTTATCTTATTATTACATTGAGTTTTATCTTTTATTATGTTTTATTGCTTTTTCTTTCTTTTCTTTTTTTTTGTGAAAAGAACTGTTATGTTTTATTACCATATAAATAGACCCAGTGACTGTATTTTCATTGTAGATAGATGATATCAAATATTCAAATACATATTCTCTCGAGTTCTAGTTCTCTCTCTAGAATTCTCTCTTTGGAATCCATCTGTCTCTCTAATTGGCTCTATTTCTTTATCTCAATTCTGTTTCTTCTCTATTGGTTTTACATCACCTACATTTTCTTTTACTTTTGTCCTTTCTTTTTTTCCTCTGGACCTTTTCTTCTACTTTTGTCCTTTCTTTTTTTCCTCCGGACCAAATTGTGCAATGCATCTTCTCTTATGCTGCCCGTTGAGAACTGACTTATTATTTCAAACGACACACATTTGGGAGGTTGAAACTCATTCTGAATTTATTATCTTAGTGGAATTTCAACCCCCTCGGTCTTGTGTCTTCCAGCTTGTGTTAGTTTAAGAAAACAAGTAAAAGGTACCAATATTTTAGGATTCAACCTTTGTTCTGTCTGAGGTCAAGTTTAGTCGAGCTGAAAGCTTGTGGTAAGATCCATCTGAACTGAATGCTTTTACATCAACTCGTTCCTACAAGTTTAACAAATAAGAAAACTTTAGGCAACTCCGAAGTAAACTTCGTTGGAAGGAAAAAAAGGAAACAAAATTAGCTGTAAAGGCTTTATAATCTTGCCCACCTTCTTTTCCAGATCAAGAAGAGATATCCCTGGACTGAAAATTTGGGAATGACGCATGGCAACAGCAATGCCTACCCGTGGGGACACACATGAATCTTTTTGTGATTGAAAAAGCGTAACTCCACTGCGGCCTGCATTGTCTTGCGGAGAAAGCATACAAGGAAATGGGCTAGTATCCTCAATTACTTCAAGCACTTGAATATTCCTTCTTGGAGCGGAATGCTTCTTCTCCGTAGAGTTTGTAGGACTTTTCAAGGCCATCTTCGCAGATTTGACTGCTTTTAAAAGTATCTGGGAATCCGTATCCGCATTCTCCAAAGATTCAACTTCCACCACTCGATATGCCAGAGGCAAAGACGAATCATTGACAATCCAATATGGAACAAAAAACCTTATTGTTTTAGGTGCAGCAGTGGTTCCTCCTATGTCGTGTTCGATTCTCACACGCAGTCTCCTGAAAATATGATGGTATAATCATGAAAGAGCGGAATTTGATTCAAAAAAGAGAAAGTTATAACAGAAAAACACTTTGGAGACGGTAAGTTTTCAAAGAGTATACATAAAAGACCAAATAAAACAAATAATAAACAGAACACTTAAAGCGACTCAAAACACTCTTCCAACTTACAAAATAAGGAAAATGACTAATATAGTAAAATATCAATAGAGGTTAGCAATGAAAACAATTAAGAAAGCTGCATCCTGTTGGTACTTATGGACGTTGTTACTAGCAAACAAGGAATAAAAATTGCTTAAGAAAATATATTCAAAATGAGCATCAACCTCCCAAATTAACAAATCAGAAATTCATGAGAAAACCTTTGCGTGCTCAAGTCAAACTAACCCTATCCTAGATTATACACATTGGAAGAAGAAAATCCTACAGAATCACAAACCTTTTACTCTGCTGGTGAACCATCCAAAACGATGCGGCATGATCATTAGAAGAAATGTTCAAAACAAGAACAGGGTCCTGAAGAAAAACAAGAGACTGTCAAAAATCTATGACGCTTGTTTTTATTCTTGTTATTATAACACACACACACACACACACATATATATATCTCACCAAAGGAGAATAGCATTAACACTAGAACTTCTTACCTTCTCCATAACCCAACCATCCTGAACGAGCAATGTGAGATAAATAGGTTTCTGGATGTCAGCTGAATATACATGTACACTCCCACGTGATGAGATTATTCCGTGTTGTCGCTCAATGCAACTTCCTTCTTTAGTTTTCTCCCAGATTGTGAATTCAGCTGGACACGGAAATCGATTTTCTAACTTCAGAGGAGCATTAACAGATATTCTCCAATCATAAATAGGTGCATTCAGTTCAGTATGAAGGACCGAGGCATCTGATCCAACACTCAGCCAAATTTGCTTGCTTCCTGCACCAGAACAACACAAAAGTACATCCTTTTTCTCGAGTTTATCTAACATGAAGGTAAAATTTGACATCTTATTTTCTGGTTTTGACGTATGTTGTCTTGAGAGCGAAACTTGCTCCACGAGAGCCTGATCCTTTCCACATGCATAGCCAGAACCAACAGTCACTGCGTATCCCCAAGAGTATGGAGCCTGGGGATGATCAACAGAAGGGCGAATTTGTAAGCACTGGTTGGAATCCCGGCGTGTACTTCTCCATGGTAAAACTGTGGATGCTCCAGAATTTATGATGGGGAATTCACTTTTCAGTATTTGCTGCCTTGAACGAATCCAGCGTCTGCGGCGCACAAGATCAGAAGACGATTTCATGCATGACTTTGAGGATGTTGGAGGACATTTTAAAGCATGAAAGTCGGGACCGTATGCCCAGCCATCTTTGTCAACAAATTGAGATTTATCAATAGTCCATGTTGATGCCCATCGCCATCCAACGGGAAGGGGAGGTTCAGAGAAATCCTTGATAATAAAATAAAGCAAGAGAAAAATGAAGTTACATAAATAAGCATGTTAAGGAAAAGAAAACTTGTTGAGGCGGAATGTGTCACCCTGTTAATGCACTCACCTTAGAGGAATTTGAGTAGTCTTGGGAGCTCCAAGGCCCTGGTTCAATGCTGCCAAGACCAGACCAATTATTACCCCAACCAGAACCTGGTTGAAAACGTTGATTTTGAAATCTCTCCTCAACCACAAGATTACTGCTTGTTCCTGAAAGAAGAGACATGTGACATGTGGAAATCTCCAATTTAATATCCGACTCATTGACTAATGTCGCAAGACTTCTGAATATCACGTGCTTCTTGCCATTTTTCATGACAACTTCCATGGCAACAAAATCGTTGTGCAGTGATTTGGGGACAATAGACGACGGAAGCAATGACCGAATACTCTCCCAAGTACCCTGTGGTCCAAGACCAATCCAGAAACCAATATCTCTTCCCACAACATTCTCTGTTCCAGCATCTCTTTCAAAATTTGGAGTTGTTTTCCGCTCGAAACAAATAGTAGAAACCAATAAGCATCCATAGTTGTCATCTAAGTTGTTAAGCTGAACTTGTAAAATACAAAGATGAATGAGAAAACAATAATCCCATAACCAGAAAATGCGGGTGTAGTCAAAAAGCCAAACACAAAAATGTTAATAAGAACAAGCAAGAACCAAAAAAAAAAAAAAAAAAAACCAAGAAAATGCGGGTGTAGTCAAAAAGCCAAACACAAAAATGTTAAAAAAAAAAAAAAAAAAAAAAAAAAAAAAAAAAAAAAAAAACCAAAAAAGAACCACAAAAAAAAAACAAAAACAAAAACAAATTAATGTAATAGTTACCTTCCTCTTTAGTGGATATGACACAAGGTTTTGACTTTCGTGGGCTTGATGGAACATCTTCACTGAAGCTACCTTCCTCAATGTATTTGCACCATGTCCAACCGAAAATGAGAGTGCACCAACAACTTCCCCTGTATCATTAGAACACCATTTTAAGTGCATAACAAAATTAAGTGTTAAAATATAAAAACTATTGTTGACCCACCTCCTAACAGCTTAAGCTTTTGGGATGGATTGGTAAACTAACATTAAGCATGGCAAGTTTCCCTTTAGGCAAAACCTAATATGCTGTGCCAAGTTTACTAGATCAAAACTCCATATAACCACCAATCCATCTAATAGGATGGCATGAGATCATTTAAAACAAAAAACACAAAAAAAAACAAAAAACACAAAAACAAAACAAACTAACATTAAGCATGGCAAGTTTCCCTTCAGGCAAAACCTAATATGCTGTGCCAAGTTTACTAGATCAAAACTCCATATAACCACCAATCCATCTAATAGGATGGCATGAGATCATTTAAAACAAAAAACAAAAAAAAAAACAAAAAACACAAAAACAAAACAAAACAAAAAAACAAAACAAAAAACAAAAAACAAAAAAAAAAACAAAAAAAAACAAAAAACAAAACAAGCAAAAACAAAGACAAAAAGACTAGAATCAAATCTGGCCCCAACATTTGTGCAGGTACACAAGCGAAATATAGAAGCTAAACCCAGAGAATTATACTGCTATTCATCAGAAGACCACCCTTGGTACGTTTCTAAAATGCTTTTGAAAAAAAATGCTTATGTGCTGAAGGGTGCCAATAAAGTATTCAGAAGATGTCCACAAGGAGATTTTACTCGCCCCAAAAAGTTAGAAGTTAAAAAGATGCATGGGAATCACAAATGCACATGCAGAAATCAAAAAACCCCAAAGAGTTCAATAAATAGAAGCATATGCAACTCATCATATATAATTCACCAAAAAGGAAATGCCAGAAAGACGTGCCTTTTCCTGCTTTTGCTGCAAGGTTTGTTACCTCCACTTCCAATTTAGCAGCGGCCTGCAACAAGCACATTCAGAAAAATCAATAAAGAGAATCATATAGGAAACCATAAACATTCAGTAAAGAACTCAAATCCGAAAGGAGAAACTATGTGTAGGAACCAAATTATAGATGTGGAAACAATATAAGTTTGTATAAAGTACCAGTAAAACTTCAATTACAACCAGATTTTGAAGGAAAAGATAAGTTGAAATACTTTTTTTCTTTTTGGTGGTTTGAACATTACCAAACGGAAAGAAAATTAAGTATATTACTCAAGCCCCAAAATGAAGATACAATTACAGGGAAAGAAACAGAGAAACAAATTAAAAATGAAGAAAGAAAGGAAGATAATAAATTACTCAAATACCTTTCGAGGAATTTCAAAAATAAATAGTTCATTCCACTTTGCAGTGCCCTCAACCAGATCATTCTTTTTCGAAATAAAAGGCTTAACACATTTTGTTCTTGCACTCTGAGGAAAAAGCTTTTGCTGATCGGTCGCCTGACTTTCAACGACAAGGCGCAGAGCACAGAAGAAGTTTTGACCATTGCCATCATCTGTAACAGGTAAACCCTGCAAGAAAATTGAGGAACAAACATGACAGTTTTGTAAGCTAAAAGCAGTGGGAGTAAGTCATAGAATTAGGTGGAAGTACATGATTTTCTTTCTTTTTTTTTTCTTTTAAAGAAACAAAAGATTTTAAAAAGAGGAAGAACAAGGGGAGGACTGGAGAAGCTCCCAAAACCAAATCTCTAGAGGAAGAAATTAACAACCTTGGCTTCAAGGATCTGTATAGCAATATGGTAGCGTGCTTCTCTAAATTCATCAGCAACATTCAATCTGTCTGAAAACCTTGGAGGTGGGATCGACACAGAAGCACAATCACCATGATGCAGCTGGTCAACTATGTCCGAATTCTGTTCAATTCTTTTCAGATAAATATCACACCCAAGTTTATTTTCTATTCTTAGAGTCTGAAAGTCATCCTCATCCAACGCAGAAACAGCTGGATCTTCTCCATCCCTATGCAAACTTCCAGATTCCTGAAAAGATAGTAACAGGGTTAAGGATTTAAAATGTTTTTGTGTACAGCTAAATATGCGGAAAAAAAAAAAACACTAACCACATTTAGCTTGGTTGCTTTCTGTTCAAGGTCTAACTGTCGTCTCCATGAAAGAATGCTCCCCACGAAATTGTCCAAACTTGCAGCACTGACATTTACATTTACAATTCCGGTAGCAGCGATACGCACTCTCTTCCCAAGTTTGGATGGTGGGCTTGAATTAGTATCATAAGTTTCAAACCTTGAAATAAAAAAATAATCATGCTTCATGAAGGACAACCTCAAATAAATTGAACAAATATCAACCAAAAAAAAAAAAAAGACACTAAATAAAATAAAATAAAGTAGCAGTGGGAAAGCTAAAAAGGATTGAGCAATATGATACTTGAAAATTCCATCAAAAGGCTCCACAAGTGGCTCCCATGCTTCTGACTGAGTGTTGAAGGTTGATGCAGCAATAGAGGAAATCAGTACTGCATTCATAGCATCTACTTGACCATGCGTTGCAAGCTTAATATTTGTGATTGTTACATCAAATAGTGGTGTCATCTGAAAAGGTTTAAAAATATTGGATAAGCATAAATTAAAAAGAAGTGATTCACATTAGATTCGAGTTCATAAGAAGTTTTCTTCCAAGAGCACAAACCATTCCACATAAGCTGTCTAGAACAGTCAAAGAGAAGCAACTCAGCTTCATCTCAGCGGTTATGTTTTCCTGAGTCTTTGGCTTCACAGAGTCGCCAATAGTATAAGCCAATCGGTAAGATGGAATCTTCATATCCCCACGTGCAAGAAAAGTGCAGGCCTACACACACATGATAATCAAAGATGTTGTTAAGCAAAAATAGTAAGTTAGTTGAGCTTTTAGTTAAGCTTGTAATGATTATAGTTTGTTGGATTAACAAGTACTATTAGCAACTTCTAAATAGATCAGTACACGTCTCATTGAACTAGTAATTAGTTACTTTCCTAATCAGACTTGGTTAAACAGGTTCTCTGTTTAAGTAACTCATGTACAGATCTATAATCTCATACGAGAATTTCTTTTTTCACAAAACATATCGTTTCTCTGTTTCTTTAGATTGTTAACAAGTCATATATCCAACTCTTAAACAAAGAAGAATGATGTGAGGTATATAAACAAACAAATATCTGAGCTAAAGAGAGGTAAAAGACACTTAAAATAGGGGGAGTGTTGGAAGAAGTTTAAAATTGTTCGTAGCAATATGCCAATGAGGGAACCACAACCCTAATTTGATGAAGTCAAAACCAATATCCAAGTGAATATGTTAACCTGATTTTCAACTTTCCAAATGCTCCAACACTGAGAAGCCTTTGAACTGGAAGATCTTGAGATGGGCGCCTCAAGAATACTAGCTTGGTTAACAAGATCCATCCTAGGGCAACAAAGAGTATCGATAGATGGAGATTCATCTGTTCTGGAGACCATGCATCCAAGAGAAGCATAACCGGGTGGAGCTATTGGGTACCAAAAGAAAACTTCATCAAAACCCTTTCCAACAATATGGGCAACTTTAGTAAACTGCACAGGCTTTGCAGAGACTTCGGGGTTATCAGCCCTGAAAATTATGCCAAGAGCTGGTCGTTCCAAGCTGAAAGGAAGAATAATACAGAAAAAATCACATATGCTGGTTAAAGAGATGTAATTACTAGATTCATGAAGACGTGTATATATATGACACTGCAAGATGAAAAGTTCTAACCCTTCAGTTATGCAATCACCCAATATGGCATAACCAGGACGTGCAATGGGTCGCCATATTGAGACTGGTCGGCGAAGGTCAGTACCCTTGTCCCACCAGATCCTCTCAAAGTTAGGGGTTGACATATAACAATTAGTTGCTTTGGAAATAGATCTGACAGTGTCCCATCCGGATGAATTTACATTCTGGTTGCTTGTTTCCTGACCTCCATATTCACAATCAACAGTTAAATCTGATGCAGATTCTTTAGAAGGAGAACGGATCCTATTCCAAAGAAGAAGGTGATTCAGGTCCCAACTATTATCTACCAAGGGGCATTTAGTAGTAGAATGAGCAGAAAAGGATCCAAGAATATTGTCTAGGCGCCAAATGCTGAATCCAGATGGAAACTGGGGATTCGACGAAGCATTGAATATGCACTCCAAGTGTGTTGTCAGCGTTACAAGGTCAGAACGTATGCAGTACACAATGTGATTAGGTGGTGCTTCGTTCCCTATATTTACAACACATCCCAATGCTGTGTATCCTGGAGGTGCAACAGGCTCCCAAATAGAACAATCACAGTCGGTACGAGGTTTGGCTTCACCTCCACTATGTCCTAGAATACCCAAGAATAAACCTATGAGATTGAAACCAATTGGTTTTCGGACGCGCCCATATGTGTTACTCACTGCCATTACTGCCTGAGATGGAGGAATTGGCCTACACATTATAAGTGAACCAAAATAAATTTCAACAAATACAATATAAAGGACAATTGGAGAAGCACATAAAGTCAAAGATCAAGGTAACAAAAAAGGTCATCATTCTTTTTTTTTTCATTAATGATACATATCATCATTGTTGCAAACAAAATCATTCCTTTGTTTTGGTCTGTTCTCTAAGTAGGAGGATGAAACTATCACACAAAAAATGTACCATCATGATCGAAAATAACTACCGCATAAAATGAGTGTGCGTTTTTTTTTTTTTCTCCCCCTCTAAGAATGAGGGCATATTTCCCCCATCTTTGATGCTATTATATTGCCATATACATAAATGATTCCTACAGTACCTTGATGTCACGCAATCTCCCAATATGGCGTAATTGGATGGAGCTCGAGGCCTCCAAAAGGTAAGGTTGTAACCAGGTCCATTTTCTGCATAATGAGTAGAGACCAAAAAATCCGTTAAAACCCAAAACAAAAGTATGCAACACGGAGAAGAAATATCAAAATAAATTGATTAATGACTAATGAAAAAGTCATTCTGATAAGGAAATCTATGAAAAAGACCTTTAGGCGACACCCAAATGCGATCAAAGTTTGTACAGGGAGCCAAGGGTATCATGTTTCCAAATTGTAATGCTGCAAACGCCTGATTTTGCAAACTAAGTATGAGAGAAATAGCACTGAGCGAAAGATGGATGCATATATTGGTTGACATTAGAGACATATTTGTTTTGTCCTTCACAGAAGTGTATCCCCCTGAAATATCCACCGGGTCAAGAACAATAAGACCAGATCCAGCCTCAACAGTGAGATCCTTTACCAAGGCTCGGATCCAGATATCGTTTTCTTTTGATGCATACCTGTATAACAAGAGGTTCTATAGTTAGAATTGTGAACAAGCTTCTATATGACAAGACCATATAGATTGTTTTTCACAAAAATGGTGCACGTTTATCTATAGGGAGGAAGGGGGGAAAAAAACAAAGGAAAACAAAAAAAAAAAATCTACATACTAAAATACAGCTTAACATGCCATTATTTAAACAAATAACTTTGTGGAACTCAATTTTGACCACCAAATGATTGAAATAAATAAGCTTCATAATTCTACAATCCTCACTCCTCGGTTAGTAGCATAAAGTCCTAATGATGGAGAGAAAAAAAAAATGCACTTTCAAAAGAGAATCACAGTGAGATAACCATCACAATAAGCCTTCTCATTTTAAGCTTTTATTCGGATGCTAAAACCTAGATGCCTTTGACATGCAAAGCATTGAGAGAGGACAGAATTCAAATAAATAAATCACACATATTACGCGTACATGTGGACAGACCCTCCCAACTTTACGGAAATAAAGTATAATGAAGGGAAAAAAAAACCATATCTTTAACGGGGAAATTATAGCCACTCACATGAAGCTTAAATCCAGTTTTGCTCGAAGAAGCTTTTCCCCAAAAGATGAATCATCCAGAGACGATTTTGTACCATCATAGAAGGTGAACTCAGGAGAAACAACCTAAATTTTGAACAAGAAATGTAACCAATTACAATAATTAAAACTAGATAATCCAAACATCAAGAAAAATCTTCATCCAAGTACAATAACTACCATGCCTTATTGATCTTTCAAATAATTAAGCAAAAAAAGAGAATGATTGCTTATTAAAGTCTCACTCAATTAATGAAGATGTTAGTTTACCAATTCATCCAAAAAACTTAAGCTATTAGGAGGTGGGTCAACAATAGTTTTATACTTTAACACTCCCCCTCCCGTGTGGGCTGGACAATAGGCAATCGTGTGGGTAAATTAATTAGAAAGCCCACGCGTGAACATTTAAGCCCGAAATATATTAAAGACCCAACACATAATGACAATTTTAAATGGGGATAAAGAGTGCAATTACGGGGGTTTGAACTCAGGACCTCCTGCTATGATACCATGTTAGTTTACCAATTCATCCAAAAAACTTAAGCTATTAGGAGGTGGGCCAACTATAATTTTATACTTTAACAAAAGATATGCCAGTCATTGGCAGAAAGAATAGGTTTAATCTGTACTGGATATGTGTATGATATAAACGAAGTGCCATAGACTACAGTTTTACAATCTTATTCAAAATACATATTTCCAGGGGCAGTAGTTTAGTTGGAATACTTTTTTTGTAAAAGGAGTGAGTACCTGGGTTTCAAAAGTGAAACTTGGAACCAGATCTAGATTGTATTGAGAAAGCGAAGAAATATTTGCAGCATCTGATGATTCACGTGTATGCTCCGAACTCTTTTTGTCGTCATCATCAGATGAGGAAATTTCAAGCAATGTAATGTCTACACCATCCTCAAATGATACCGAGTAGCTGCTATCATTACTTAAATATGTATACTTCCTCAAAAGAGAACCATTCTGATAGATGTAAAAAAATAAATAAAATAAAATTTCGGCAAAAAGGTAGGGGAAAGACAGGAAAATGTCTAGAAGACTGTTCCTCAACAACTACATGTAACAATGCAAATAGCATTCCCTATTCACTTTCTTTCATATTAAAGGGCAAGAAAAATAAAAAGCAAGCATACAAAACATTTGAAAGACAAGTTGCCAAACGAAAGTCATATGATCATGTTAGGAACCCGGGAATCTGAACTTCATTAACAACACTAAAAATGAAAAATTACAGGACATATGGGTGGTTTTGAGAACCCCCGACCTCCAAGGCAGGGCACAGCACTAGATGCTCTTCACAAATCTCATCATCCCCTCTCAATAGCCACTAGACCCCTTACTTATACTACTAAAAGACCACTAAATTTCAAGTACTAACTATCAGGTTCCTAACATATCACAAATGAAAGAATTTTTCTCACCTCAAATAGTTTGAAAGCACATAGAACAGTAGAATTAGGTGGTGTCTACAACAACAACAACAAGAAGCCTTAATTCCAACTTAATTGGGGTCGGCTATATGGATTTCACTTTTCCACACAGAATTAGGTGGTGTCTAAACTCGCAAAATAAAACACACTTAAAACAAAGAAATGATTTTAGGGTTGTTCTTTTCACAACTCAAGTTGAGAACTAGAGTTGTGTATGTGAGAGAAAAGTACTGGAACAAAAAAGTTGATTTTAAGTTTTTATGAGAGAAAACACTGTAGCAATAGAACTTGAATTGTGAAAAGAACAACTCCTTTATTTAGCCCCACCATTTCTTAATTCAGATTCAATTACCAACATAAAGTATTTTGAATGCACTCATCAAAATTGCCGAGAAATTTTTTTAAAAAGAAAAAAGAAAAAAAGGAAAAAAGAACTGAATAGATACTTGGCATTCTGTTTACATCCTAACCTATGACATGCTGTCTCTTTTATCTAAAGATTTTTCCTTCTAAGCCACTAGTAGTACCGAAGTCAAAACTCTCAAGCATGTTAAACATAAACATGAAACAAAAATAAATTCTGTAGCGGGTGTAGAGGATTGAAGGGAGGTTTTGTTACCTCAATTTTAACATTTACAAACCGCAACTTCTTTCCACGTCCGATAATTATAATTGGTTGAAACTTTCCCCAATGAGACTTATCTGCTTCCTCAGTCAAGCAGATAGTTTTTCCACAACCATCGTATGCATACTCATCAATGCTTGGGCAATCTGCCACTAGTTGTCTACTGGGAGAGAGGTGAATCACATCTTCTCTTTGTTTGTAAACAGGTTCAGAGAGTACAATGCTACTGTTTCTACAAAGAGGATCATTCTTAGGATCCATAGTTTCCTCTATTCCAGTTATTGCTCCCAAAGCTGGCACAAAGAACTCAGTCACAGCAAGAAGGAAATCAGGCACTACAAGAACTCGAGGCTGTTGAACCCGAACCACAAATGATTGAGAAGATTTTCTCCATCTGTAATCCATCAGAAACATTGTCGAAATTGGTAAATCAGCAGAATGAGCAGCTTCAGACTCGGTTCTTCTAAAGCTCCCCTTATTTAACAAAAAAGGCATGTTAGAAACTTGTTTAAAATCATCCGTGGATGATCCAAGCATAAGGCGCATTTCAGGTTTTGTGTCGGGGCGAACATCAAGGACAGAGAATTTCGGTATAGTAATGTATAGATCCGTCTCAGACAATGAAGTCATCCGATATGATACCCAAAGACCTTCTAGCTACAATATAGAAAAAGAGCCATGTTACTTGTTAAGTCTATAGTGTCCTATGTGAGAAACAGAAATAGTATCGCATTATGAATCCTAACATCAGAGCCAAAGCGAAAAAATGTTAGAAAAACAACAACAGAAGAAATAATCAAATAGAAGAATGGAAATACAAGTTTTATCAAGAAAACAAAAAAAAACAAAAAAAGGATACACTCACAGCAATATGAGCTAAAGGCGACTCATCATGAACGCCATTATAGAGCTCCAACAAGGCATGATCAACCACGACTGTAGATATGGTAACAGTACGTGATAGAAGAATTTGACTATTCATGTTGACCTTGTCGACGAACAGCCGCATTGTATCCTTTGAACCAGGTTTGCCACCACGAAAACTAGGAGGAAGCCTGGGCTCTTCAAACAAGTTCATGTATGCACAATCAAGAATGACTTTGTATTCTTTGCTAGTCATGACACCATGCAACAAGGCAACCTGGTTAAATTAAAATCAGTAAGAACGCTAAAAAATCACACAGGCATGATAAGACGTCAAAACAATAAAAGCAAAACAGTACAGTGAGCACTCTAAAGACAACCAACAAATAGACTAATTTCTTTTACAAGAGAAAAAAACTTAATCGATAAAATCATAAATCTTACAACCAGACTTAACCAATAAGAGACAAAAACTTAATTGATAAAATCATAAATCTTACAACCAGACTTAACCAAGGACAAGATGTCCTCAGAACAACCAAAAGAGAGCAAAACCAAAACCAAAACAAGCCTTAATCAACGATCCACGACGTTCTTCCGATTTAAAAGGATTAGCAAAACACAAGTATACGAGTTAAGTTGTGCGCATTGATAATTCGAGAAATCCCAAAACCAGAGTTAAAAAAACTCACGAGTTCAAGTGCAACCACAATTTTTTTGAACCCCCATGCAACTTGGTAAATTGAATACAAAAATAGACTAAAATTAGATGCAGGCTCTCCCATCACAAGTAAATGCCTTAGCACAAAGAACAAATAGATATAGTTACATCAGTCATCATATAGAAAGAGTTACCTTTACTTCAAGAGAAAATGTTGGTACTTTTTTGAATACATCCCTCAAACTTCTCCTCACATAAATGTCAATTCCTTTACCTTCCCGAATCATTGGTTTACCTATAAAACCATCTATTCCTACGAACATGTTGATACCCAAAATCTGCAATTTAATACTGGAGTCAGACAAAGTTGGTAATTTCAATCATATTGCATAATGCAATAAAAGGAATCTACCTCAGCATGCAGGACATCAATATGTACAGCTGAAGGATCTTCATCTGCAGAACCATACCACCTAAATGAATTTGTCACTTTCAGATGGCCCAAATCAAGTTGAATGAAACTGCAAAGTGCAAAGAAAAAAGAAATCCATCAGCGCTAAATGCATTAAAAAACCAAAAAAAGGAAACGAAAGAAAACCAACAAAATAACTTTTTTTTTGTAATCCCCCCTTGCTTCAGGAGTCTTTTTTCCTTTAATAATCAATGACAAACAAGTATTCCCATTTCTTTCTTTCCATAATCCATTTTCCCCTCATAACCTAATTACTAATTAACGAGTAGCACAATAAAGAAAAAATGATGGTTGTATCTACTATCTACGCACTCTTTGCTTGTAGAATTCCTTGGAACAATGATTATTGGAGTGTCAAGTGAGAGATCAAGTTTTAATGCTGTCGCTCCGTCAATCTCATATTTCTGAATGAACCATTCAAAACCTCCAACTTTATCGACAAGTTTAATAGCTTCTTCAGTCTGTGGAGTAGCGAGCTCCATAAAATAGACCATAATCTGCATAAGAATGCAGATAGAATCTGTATTATATTTAAAATAAAGTGATCTTCTAACGCATACCAGAGACAAAAATTCACTAAGGAACCTTAAAAAAATAAAAATCGTGAAACCCAATGAGCATGAAAGTATGACATCTTAGAAATATTAAAAATCACAGACCATCTCTCATACCTCCTGAACAAACCTATAGAGGAACACAATGCGAACAGCAGAAAGTCGGCCTTGCAAGCTATAATCATAACCTTCATAATCCTCATCTTCAGCACTATAAGAATCAAATTTGAACTGGAAAAGAACGGAACGGAAATTTAGTCATCTAGAAGAAGAAGACGAAGAATTACGTGCAATGCAACAGTTTCCCAGCCCAAAAAAAAAATGAAAATGGAAAGAAAGGACTGCGTACCTTAATAAGGGATTCAACGCCAGGATTGCGTATATCGCAAAGCCAATCCCAGCAGTGCTCTGTTCCAAGACACATATCACAGAGTCTAAAATTTCCTAATGTCCCTTCAATAGAAAGAGAACTAGGATGGACCTTCAAAAACAAAAAACTAAGATGAGTAAAGTAACATGTCTGGGTATCAATCCAGAAAATACAGATGAAATTTACTTTCAACAAAAGTAAAAAGATGAAAGTTGATAACATAAGAAAAAAAAAAGTTCAAAAAATTTATAAAAAAAAAAAAAGAAAAAGAAAAGAAAAGAAAAAGGGAAGCTTAAAATATCAGACAATATTTCAGCACCTTAAGATCCAACAGAAACCTTTCCTGCACCAGCATTGCAAGTGGAGAATCATCCTCTTTATTAAGAAACACAGACACACTGTCCACGTTCATGTTTAAGTAAAATACTACACGATTTTTACCATATCCCAGCAACCCTTTAACACGCCCACTTTCTTCAGTCTTTTCTTTGTTCACCAGAGATTTATCTTCTGAAACCGTTTCTGTGTCAGAAATTGTTGTTGCATAATGCACAGAGCTGATATCCAGGCCAAAACCAATTAAAGCAACAAGAGTGGGTCTGTTGCAAAAAAATTCCAGCTTGGACATGCGAACACTCATCTGAATATCCATAGTGAATAGAGTTTTACCATAAATATAAACCAGCTATGTAGAATCTTTAACTCAGAGATAGTGATGAGCAAGCTAAATACCTGTGTATCTATACCATCATAATCATGGGAACTAGGACTCCTTGTCAAGAAGATAACAGAAACAAAATCTGAACAGTCTCCACCTTCTGCCTCATAAAATATCTCATCGGACATACCTCTTCCCATAACTAGATCTTCTTCACGAATTAAGGCTTCAGCAGACTCGAATCCAGCACCAGCACCAATTTCTCCAGTTGTTCCACATGAACCAGTATCCAAATTTTGAAAATAACCACCTGCATCTGATAGAGAGGCGAAGTCGGGCAAAGCGTCTGTAAATGCATCATCATCTTCATGAAGTGTCACAGGCATCTCCTTTCCATGAGGATCAGTAAAATTAGGGGAAGAAAATACACAGTCATTTCTCAGCACGGAGCAAGCTAAATATTGCGGGCTTGCAGAAAGACGACCTTGAAGCTCATCCCTAATCTTTAAAGAATGCAGCTTCATCCTTATAGTCAGATCACCTTCACAAGAAATCATGTGAACCTGTAACCCAAAAAAAAACAAAACAAAACAAAAAACAAAAAAAAAAAGGAAAGAGTTAAAAACTTTAACAGAAAAAGACACTACTTCCCAAGCAACACCTATTAAAGTTCAATATTTCCCTTAAAATATACAAAAGAGGAGTCACTAAACTATATGCAAAATCTTAGACTGCAATTAAACGACATGAAATGTGATTATGCTCTTGACTTTTAAGGGTATAAATGTCTAGAAATATAAGCCTTGCTCCTTCTCAATGTGTGGAAAAGGTGTGACCACAGAAATAGACAGACGTGGTAGAATTATTATACACCATCTTCCAACTAAGCTACATTGAGTTTTATTGGAAATCAAGTCACGTAATGTGGGGAAAAAATGATTTGTTAGTGGTATATCAATTAGAAAACCAAAAACAAAACAGAAAAAGACGCTCACAAACACTTTTCTATATAAAATAATAAAAGAATGAAGAGATTTTGCATTTGATCTCATCTTATCCACGTTCCTGGACAGAAAGGGAACTAGAGACAAGTGGTGAAATGATGTCTTTGTGTTTTGATGCAACTCTGTTAAGAGGAAATCTATACATCTGAATCAAACTGAAGTGAGAAAGCTCACGTATAGTTCCAATTCAAAACTTTCATTTCAGCAACACAGAAAGGGGAAATACAGTGGTAATAAAATAAAATAGTTGCACGAACCTTCCCTCCACCAGCATGAACATCAAGAATAAGAGTCTCATCAAGTTTGCCATCAACTTCATCTCCCGTCTGCACAATATTGCAGAAGGATAAGTAAATTTACGATGTATAACCATTGGAGAAAGAAGTTATATTTTTCTATAACAACTTAAACCATGAATTACGTCAACAATGGTGCTGCAGATATATTGGCAAGATGGAGCAACCTTATATTTGTCTAATGCACGTTATAAGGGAAAAAAGATTGCAGTCTAACCTTTCCATATATAAATAACTTTGTTTCCACCAGGGCTCCATTAATGACAAGTTCGGCTGTTTTTAGTTTTGTGGTCTGAGAGTCACTAGAGTCAGATGTGTCATCACTTGTCTCTCCCAGTACATCAACTGATGGAGGTGCCTATAATAAGCATAAAAATAAATAAATAAATAAACTAATTTGGTATTGAGACCAAGAATTTGGAGAATGAGAAAACTAAACAAACAAGATACTTATGTCTTACGGAAGCTTGATATGTGGCTAGTATAAGGCACTTCAACCAGGTGGCCTTTTCATCCTCATCCCGAAATGCAAGTATCCAGGTACTAGAAGATTCCAAAGCCTGGAAAAGAAAATGGAAGAAAATAATAAGAAGATATAAAGTACCGACACTAAGAAAAAGAAAACTCCGGCTCTATGCACCAGGCTATAGTCCTATAACAAAAGGAAGAAGATGTAACCATCTGAATATTACATATTTAATATCTAGCAACTCCTCGTTCAACAACAAAACATTACAAGCTACCTCATTTATGGTCCAAAAGATTAATAAGAAAAAGTAATTTGCATTAAAGAAATAAAAAGAATCAAGTGTAATGAGAACGAAAAAGGGATCGGTATCAAGTGTAATGAGAACGAAAAAGGGATCGGTAGTCACAATAATTTGGCCTCCTTAAAATGAAGGTGATTCCTAATGTGTAAACATGATTGTACAAATTTTACTTGCTGCATGAATAGAAAGACACAATACGGGTTCGTGCACACAATATATTGCTTCAAAACTATTTGACTTGCCTTTTGAATCTCCACTCCCCTATAACTAATTGCAACACAGAACAGCAGGCCACCAATGTTTGCTGGAGGAACATCAAATACTTGTTTACCAGCCATGCTGCAGCATCCCAACAATGGAATTTTTCAGTGAAGAATGTTAAAATGCCTCTATTACAAGACTTGCATTGAGGAAATGGATCTTTATTCATAAAAAGAACCCAAAAAGAACTAAGAGAATACAAGATGGATGAAATATCAGAGAACAAATTGATGCAAACCTCAAGTATCGCTGGTAAGTTGGAGACTTTTCAGACTCCAAAAGATAAAGATATAATCCTGATAATACAAGAAAACAAGGTTGCCATGTAGCCACAGAGTTGCCAATCCCCTGGGTCCAAAATACAGGCAAAGGACTACCAATCAGATGCATAACAAATGCCAATAATTTTTTTTCTAATACTAATAAGAGTTGAGGACACACCCTCCAGACTAGAATTTTAGTATCAGAAGCAAGGTCCACAGAACTCCACGGAGTAAGCTCATCTTGGAAATTATCACTGGCAGGCAGATTACTAGTCTCCATTGTACCGTAGAATATGTTCAGTAATTCCATAATTCTGCGATATCTAGATGGTGAAAAGTGAACCCCGAGGTTTGGCACTTGAACAGAAATGCGTGTTGACGGGTAACTTGGATGAGGTACTTTGATCTTCAGTAGAAAACGCACAAAGTATATAAGTACAACAGATAATTTTATCAAATCCTCTTTTTAAATAATCACTACACAATTATTAAAAAAAACAAAACAAAACAAAACAAAATAAAACAAAAAACAAAAACAAAAACAAAAACCAAAAAGTTTACCTGATCAACAAGTACTGCCATTCCACACCTATCTATTAGCGAATAAAAATTATCAATTTTATTGGGTGTAGGAGATATGATTGGATTCAAGTCGTATTTAGCCGCAACCAAAGTGTAGTTTTGACAATCATAGCCACAATCTGTGAAAAAAGCAGCAATGTCTCTTCCGGATATAAAAAAACGAGAATAGAGATTTTGCCTTTGTTCATCAGATTGGCTCTCCTGCAATATTTAAATTACTCAACTCAGGAAGATGCGGAATGAATTACAAACAAATAAATTCTCGTCTAATTAAGCATACCGCGGTGTGCACTGTGAAGTGACCAAAGTCCAAAAGGAAATGACAATCACATTTAGAAGAGCCAGCCGTTCTGATAGGGACTCTGACTTTTGGAGCATCAAAGTCGATATCAAGAGCAAATCTGAAATAGTAGGAAGAAAAGGAAGTGTGATGTTCGAAGTTCATATGTTTACAACATTAAGAGAATGAAAAATAAAACATTAAAAATTAGAAACATAAAATGGAGCGAGAATAAAAGACAAAGTTGAAAACAGTATGATAACCTGCTTTGTTCTTCTAATACAAATTGAAACTGTTCTTGTGCCCTACGTGTTACTTTCTCAAGTTTCATCTGCTCATAAGAATAAACAAAATGAGGTTAGCCCAACAATAACATTTCTATAAACTCTAGAGCCACACTAGATATTGAAATTACCTGCAAAGCAGCCGCAGTTTCAAATGCAACAGTGGGACTGACTGCCTTACTTCTCTTCACAAACTCCATAAAGCGGTAATAACTATCCATTAAAACCTGAAAATATTTAAAGGTTCATCGTAATCTAGCTTCTAAGGTCCCAAATTCTCACAAAAGATTAAGCCATCACCAATATTGGTTTCTATATTCTAATAGTTCCCCTAAATTCATGGGCTTGGACAATATGCAAATGTGCCGCAGAAATTATTTGAGTGGCACTAGGGAAGATTACTAGAAAGTGCAAAGCAAACCAAGGAATTACCGTAACATGGCAAGGAGAAATTGTAGCTGCCAACTTCCAGTCAACATTCCCCCCTACTGGTGCGTATATAAAGTTAGCAGACAATGCATTCAACTTCTGCTCACTACAAACACTCTGCATAACAGATTATGATCATTAAGTAGCCCACACACATGCAAAGTAAATTTAAATTGAAAAAGGGTCATGTTTGGCCTGCAATTTGAATATTAATGCATTTACGTATACATACTAGCTATGTATATAGGAGCATGTACATGTGTCTGTTCTGTGTGTATTACTTTCTATACTGAGCATCTCTTGGAAAACTTCAGCCAAGAAGTTAAAGGATTCTATGTTTTTTACGATATTCAAGATTGGCACAATGTTCTGTATTTTGTTCAGTTTTGCTTATTTTCTATATTTTGTCTTTCATCTCTTAGCTTAGGTGGACTAACCAGAAAACCAAAAAAACAAAAATTATACTAAGACTGAAAAGTTTTCAGGAAAAGAATTAGAGATCCATTGTAAACGTCTTAGAACATATCATGATAAATAACACAGCCTAGAATCATATGTTAACTAGACAAACCTCAGCAAGGGAGCCTTCGGGTGCAGATAAACCATAAAATCTCAATGACACATCACAGTGAGTACTACGATTTTTAAACTTGGTTGACACTTGGAGTTGTTCAAATCTACCACAAACAATTTCAGTCTGATTTATGCTGATGATCCTGGCAGCAGCTTGACCAATTGACACGGTAACCAAAAACTGGACCATATTCTGGATTTCCCTACCAGAAAGAGATGTGAACTCATCCTCTTGCTGGTAACTTAATAACTTATTAATTGCCTGCCATTCTTCTTTAGTCAGTCTTTCCTCCAGTAACTGTGGTCCCTGAGGAGTATCTCCAACAGGGACTTCTTCAGAAGGTGTGCCCCTGACATAAGAAAGAAACTGAGTGTTTTTGTATATATAGGAAACAAAATTTTATTAAAGAAAGGGGAAGTCACATGGACAATAACACTTTTGACAAGAAGTTCTAAAAAGAGAATACAGAAAAGGACAATAAAACTAAAAATAAACCAGACATGCTAGTGACTCAAAATATTTTTCCAACTTAACATCAGATAGCGGGAAATTCTTGAATGCTTTATCTGGCGAAGCCCATAATGATTCTAGATATCTAAATCTTTCAAAGGTAGCATCTTCTTCTATCACCTTAAAAATCCTTCCATTTCTTTCCATCCAGATAACCAAAACAGAAGCCACTAACCCAGCACCACACACTTTGACATCACCTTTACCATCTTACTCAAACCAAAACAAACAGGTTTTTCCACCATTAGAGAGCCACACTTCCTAGGGAAAACCCATTGAAAACCAACTTCCCTAATTAATTTGTTCCACACATCTCTAGCCAATAAACAATTACCAGGAAGAAACAGAAAAAATCTACATCCAAGATACACTGATGTTTGGCATTTAATACGACATAATGCAGTAGTATAGGACCAACCAAACCTCAATATTTCCTTTTTTTAATAAGAAACTTCCATCTAAATGAAAATAAATTTATTTCAAGAAATAGGTAGAACAAATGAAGCTTCAACAAACCATCTAAAGGAAAGCCAGCCTCCCTTTTTTAACCTCCTCTGTTCAGCTGCCTCCTTTGATTTTGCCGTTGCGACCTTTGCATGTGCAAGCAACCTAAAATGAAAAACCCATCTGAATTAGGAAGAGTCCAAACATATAATATCTGATAATCTTTTTTTTTTCTTGGAAAAAAACAAGAGAGAAGAAGAGCTATCTAAGAGATATACTCATCTCTTTTTTTTTTTTAATCAATCTAAAAGAAATGAGAGAAAAGTTCATTTACCTCCATAAGAGGATTACTTTAGAATCCAAATCCCTCTCGATTTCTCTAATTTCTGCATTGTTAATATTTGCTAAATGTTGCAATGTACCAGCATATAGTTGAATGTATCGTCGACGAAGCTGACAAAGATGCCTGATGCGGTCCCACGAGAATCGATAACTGAAACAGGGAAGCATATTTAACGTCATTCAAAATTAAGATTTGTGTCCATTTCAATTTGTGATGTACACTCCAAAACCAAATGGAAAAATATGCACCAAATCTCTTACCAAAAAGAAACACTTAGCAGGTTTTCCAGACCATAACTTTATCTAACTGAAACATAATATTGCTAATAACAAATAACTCATATTATGTTTCCGTAAGAACTTATATGTTACCACAATTTTCTCTGTTGCAGACCCGCTTGAGCAGCATAACGCCACCACGAGGAATGATCCTGTGAAACTGGAACCATAGGCCTTAAATGGGACACTTCAACGTACGTCCAGTATCTGGAGACAACTTCCAATAGTTTTATCCAGTCATGATATTGTGCCTAATAGGAAAAATGAGAGTTAGACAATCAGTTATACGACACCAGTTTCTTCTCAACACAGCACAAGACCCCCTCTCCCGCAACCAAGCAAGCAACCCAGAAAGTTAAAAAAATAAATAAAAAATAAGAATGATGCAACAAGCAAAAGGCCTTTAAACTGATCCAGAGAAAAATAAACCGTTTTTACTCCCCCAAATTAAAGAGTTTCCTAAATGTGTTTTAAAGATCAATCTTTCTTTATTCCCTCAACCATATTATGGAACAGTTAAATTACTATTCCACGACTAGACAAATGTGACGACGGAATAAATCTGTAAGAATAAAAGGATTCCACAACTAAATAGGATGAGGTTCCTTCGCCAAAAGAAAAAGAGACTTGATTTGAGACCTCTGTAATAGTTAAAGATACGTCACTTAGGACAAGAGACGCCTTCTCAAAGGGAACTTCCGGGTCATTTCTTTCTTGATTTCCAAGGCGGTGATATTTTAGTACTCCATATATAGGTGACACCAAGTACTTGTGATTCGCAACCCATTTAGACACCATTCCACTTTCAGCAACAGGCTCGTTTATGCCAGCTTCAAAAATCTGTTGAATTAATCCAGAGAACAAAAGGAAGAGGATGATATTCAATAGAAGTACTGCAAATATGCAATAATTTGGCTAAGGTTTTAACATTACTAAGAAAATGCTTAAAACACAACCAATTGATAGCAGAAACATAGGAACGAACCTCAACCCATTCCTTTGGACTAAGATCTTCCCATCCCTTTTCTATCTTCCAAGGAAGACTATCGGAATCATGGTACACAGCAAGCCTCTCAAGTTGCAATGACTGTAACACGAGCAAGAGTAAGTAAAAATAAGAACACTACAGCTCAAAAATTTCCCAATGAAAAAAAATAAGTAAACAAACAAAAAAATCCAAAATGTAATTAAACAATTATTGTAATTTCAATAATAAAAAAACCAAACAAACAAACAAAAAACAAAAAACAAAAAAAACAAAACTAACCTTCCGCAATTTATCAAGAGCACCACTAGTATCAAAGGTTTCATTCTCTTGTTCATCCATTGTAACTGCAGCCAGCTTGGCTAAAGTAATCCCCGAAGAAAAAGGATGTTCTGGATTACTGCATAAGGATATAAACTCAGAATAAGAATAAAGAATGATCCAAAAATGGTAACTTCAGACAATAGGAGGAACTAAAAGAAGTGCATCTCTATTAACCTGACTGAATCTTCATATCTGACATGTACATTGCTGATTGTTATCTTTAGATTCCCAATAATAGTAGCAATAAGAGAACCTAGCCATGAATTTCCAAGATTTTGCTGCAAAGTAATCAGCATTTAATTGTGCATATAAATCCATATCTACTAACAAAAAGCAGGAAAAAGATAACTGCAATATCTTATTTAGTACTTTATTTATATTTGGTGGCACAAAAGGTGGATAAACAAGAACAACTTTCTTCGGTAAAACACGTGGAATATAACTGCTAAAAGGATTGGCGATGCCTAAAAGTGTAAGGTAACTCTATCAGAAAGAAAATTAATTCTCGGCTAAAGGAATATTAGATGTAAAACCATACATTTCCTTGCTTTGATTTTGAAATTGCTTCAAGGGTTACCGCCTCTGCTTCCTGTATGCATACAAGAGATAAATATGTAAACATTTTTTATCAGGAAACCAAGCTGGAAAATTGCCTTCAAGTCCAACAAAATCAATAAACATGCTTATGATTATATATTACAACAAACAAACAAATGCGTACAAACAAACAAATGCGTTCAAACACAAGCATGTCACAAATTAAGCATCTAAGGTATACAAAGCTAAAGCTCAACGTTAGTTATATATTATTCTTCTACTGCTACGTATACACTTTTGCTTCATAGACAAATTTTGATCATCCACTTGTTTGTTACAAGGCCAAAAAAACACTCGGAGTAGCTATATTATCCCGTCTAATCTAAAAGCTTTGCCAACTCTGATCATGTAACACGAAGTTTTCTTACTCTGATCAATTACACAAAGCTTTTATCGCTCAGCAATTTCGATGTCCACTGATCTTGATATTTCTCGATTCTTCAACAATAACCAGTTTTCTTAACTTGCTGGAAATATAAGGTAATCAAAGGCATGAGGTTTCATTTTTTGTTATAGGATGCAATGGAGGGCGAACAAATATATTCAATGTCAGTGGTCCACAATATTTTCCTCATTCCCCTTTACTTATGAAAATGTTTGAACCCTTCCCTAAACTAGACAGATCAAACAACTCTAATCCAAATCCAAAGTATGAAAAGTTGTGCACATGAAGAATATCTGTACAGTAAAACTTTACCTCAATTTGTTGAAGTTTGGCTTCGAATAGTTTTTCCCTGTCTTCCTCCTACAAAAATCACCTTATGGTTAAAAGCACTAATAATGATACAATAGTAGACCACAGGAAATGGACCTTTAATAATAGCTTGTTTATAAAAGTACCTTGAACAAAGAAACTTCCTACCTTAAGAGTACGGCCATCAGGAGCAGGATGAGCAAGAACAAAGACACGATCAATTAGAACAATCACAGGTTCTTTGCCCAAACTTTTCCAGGGAACCTAGGATTAAAAAGCACAGAATTAAAGCCATCTGGAAAGAAGTGGGCATAGATCTAGTCTAGAAACATGTTAAAAAAATGAAAGAAATATATTAAACAATGTAGGGAA